ATTGCTGACGTAATACTTCAATGGTCCCCATACGGTTAATTGAGTTCGGATGCCATCAGGAAAGAAAATAGATCTTGTTTCTTTAGTAGAGAAATTCAATTTGATATTACTACATTATTTATATCAAATGTTTTCGCACAAAATTGTTATCAATTATCTTAATGTTCTGTCCTAAGAAGAAAAGGAGTGAAGATGGAAGAATAGAAATGCTAAAATCATTGTACATTAATGATTTTAGCATTTATGGCCTAGCCGAACTCACTTTGAGTCTGAAAAAAGCCCTTTTAGTGCCCACAGGATATAAAAAAGGAAAAAATAAATAAAGGACAAGAAATGTTTTTATGTGCGCACTTACCTGTCGAAAAGAAAATACGTCAGTCATGCACATTACTAAAACAAAACACATGTGCGCACAAAACTCATTGCAAAACAAAACGAGTATGAACTCGTTTTGTTTTGCAATGAGTTTTGTGCGTTTAGCATAATACAATGTAGTGTACAGCATAATAAAATGTAGTTTACCGAATTACCTGAATGTACCGGATTACCGAACATCTGAGATTATTGCTTGCCGGATAAACGAACTTCTGTTTAATTTTAAAATATTTTAAAATATACATTTTTAAAATAAAAAATGGCCGACGGTAATTTACATAACAACTGAAGAATACAAAAAAATTGTTTTTGTCTTTACAATCTGTCCTTTCACAACCACCATTGACGATATCCGATTTGAGACTATTTGAGCTTTATGATGACATTTATTTTTGTATTATGCCATATAAATGTTATAATTTTTAACTTTTATATAATTTTTAGTACCTGTACGTCCTAACCTTAATTATCATTTAATTTTTATCGGTGAAAGTAACATGGTGGCTCGAAAGTAACAGCATGTAGCTATTTCAAATAAATAAATAAGTTTTAATTAACTTAAAATAAAATATATATCAGTTAACTGACTTTTGGACCACGCTTTATAATAGATTTATCACAACATTTACAATTAATACGTTATGATGATAAGAAACAATGAATAATTTGAAATTATTGTTATTTCAGCACATTGAATACTTGGGGTAATGAATATTGCGATAGGATTAATGGGTCTGGTATGTATTTTTTCAATAAATATTTAATATGATAATATTTAATGCTTATATTTCAAATTAATTTGTGTAATTTTTATTATTGAAATTTAACATCGTAAAGATTTAAATAATTTTTTTTTTTTATTAAAAAGTATGAATTTTTTAAACCCGTCTTGTGGTACCAAAAGGCCTTTTTCTTCAATGCCTACCGTGAATTCGGTAAGGCCAGCTTATAAGGAGAGGCCAATCATGTCCGGATCAAAAACAAGTGGAAATTATTGAGGTTCCTATTCGGAATTGAATCTGGATCTCATATTCATATTCACAGCCAAAGCTCAAGAGTTATAGGTTAGGATTTGATTAGATTGATGTCTTAGGAAATACAACACGGGAGTGATTTTGATTTTGCCAAGGGGAGGTGCCTGATAGGAAAATTTCTATGGAAAACTCGCCCCTATTTAGGTGTTAGACACATGAAGAAGAACCGGAAAACTTCCTGCGATCAGGCACAAACCCATAACCAACGATCAGTTTTCGGTGATTTTATTCACTCAGCCACTGATGTGCAGAGTTAGTGTTATAAATTAAATAATAAGCATTCATGTACTAAAAGTAAAGTAAATGGTAATTAGTTAGCATCTAATATACTTTTGATCCTTGGTTGAGAATACGGGCCATTACTGTAGAGTTCCAAGTTGATGATGCTTTCACCACTTGAACCATTGTGTCAACAAAAAATTACTAATAAATATTGAATTTTATTCAAATTTCAATCATTTGAAGTTTAACTTAACGTATTAATAACAGATATAATTTATTTAAAATTTAATCTTTAACAAAATTTATTTAAATAATCACATATGTTTATTGTTTTAGAGGGTGTAACATTCCGATATCCCATCAGGAGGAAAATCCAATACTTTTTTTTAGGACCGTTTTGCAGGTATAAGATTTTTCTAAAGTTTTTAAAATCTTCCGTCGTGTTTTTGCTACAAGCATATACTTTTAAGCATTTGCAGAATGGAGATGATTCTAGGCATCCACGTGTCCATGTCCATGCTCTTTCTACGCTTTCTTTCTCTTATTAAATTAGCATTTTCCTTTATTTTAATATAAAATTTTATAAATTTATTTATTTATTTAATAAGTCTGCACTAAAATGAAAGATAATTGCATAATTTGCTTTCCTTCTCAGAATAAAATGGCAAATCTGTAGGAACAAATTACTAAACTATTTAGAAAAAATAATTTGGGATACATATTATGACGTAAGATGGTAATATTTTACATTAAACATCGAAAAATGTAAAATAATTAAATTTTTACAATAAAAATTGTTGTTTTTGTAGTAATTAATTCAAAAGTAAAACAAAATGTTGGATTTTTATCGCCATTTTACGGCTCCGAAAATTCTTTAAGTTGTAACAATTGGAGGAAATAAAAAAAAAGTGTTTTTTTTATTCGTTTTCAGATCTATGAGATTGGATTATATGGGAAATGATGATATATACGGCATTCCAACCAAAAAATTCTATATGGATTCTATGTTTATCAGCCCTCACTACATCAGAGCAAACAAGTGCTTCTGCCCGGATAACGAATATTGCCGATATAACGGAACTCTCCCCTTAGGGAAATGCATGTTTGGTATGTATTATATTTCATTTTAATGCTTATAATTACTTTGAATTGACAATAAGATGACCAAGGTGACAAATGCGTCAGCCTACCGCTCTCGGGGATCTTGAATCTAATCCGGGAAAGCAATTCCAAGAATTTTTCATGGACGGTCTGTCCCGGATATGTCGGAGCCAATCCCTCACCACCCAGTCGTCACATTGTGGACTCAGCAGTATAAGGCCCGGCCATATCTATGATGGGAGCCAGATCCTCACCATGGATAAGGCTGAAAAAGGCCCTATTTGTGTCCATAGGGAAGAAAGTGTCAAAAATGAAAAAAAAACTTGCTTTAAATTATAACAAATTATTCTCTAATTAAATTTATGTTCTGAATAAAAAATTTATAACAATTTTGATTATTTAAACTTTAATATTTTGTATTGAGATTAAAAATAAAAGTAAATTAATATAATTATTGCTTAAATCCTTCAACGAAATTAACATTAAGAATGATATCCCTGTCATTCATAATGCTTTAATTTCTTTTAATAGTTATAAACTTTTGCTGAATTCGTTCTCATTACATTCTTTTCCTTGACATTTTTAATGAAAGTTTCTTTTTGAAATAAATAAATCAATATAAAATATATAAATGGCTTGTAATTTCCAAATTATAGATTAAAAATAAGCTCTTATCATTAAAGCATCAGTTAAATATATATAAAATATGTTATATATTCAAAGTTAAATTTATATACCTTAACTTTCTGTCTATAACTGTCTATTAATATTAATATTTATTTTTAAGGATTACCTATAACTTATTCTAAACCCCACTTTTATGGCGCTGATCCAATTTTTCACGAAATGATTAAAGGATTAAAACCAGATGCTGATAAACATCAGTCTTATTTTCATATTAATACGGTGAGTAAAATTATAAATTACTGTATAGTTTACATTCAATACGAAAAGATTTTTATCCATATGTTTAATTTGTATAAATATAAGCTAATAGAAAAAATAAATTAATAATATTTTATAATCCCCATAATACTTTTATGTTGCAATATGTAATCGTTTCATCGCATTCAACTCTGTGGACTATGTCAATGCTTAGAAGACATAGCAGACTTCCTACACCAGTTTCTAAATTAATTACAGTATAGCTTTGTTTCACTTTCTCTTCTTGAAAACTATTTCTGACTTCTAGATCTTAGGCATTCATCAACTTTTTATCATTAAATACGTGTATTGTGTTACTTATTTACAAAGTAGTCTCCCGTAGCTGGCATTAACTAAACACTAATTTATGAATACTTCAATGATGATTATTATAACTTTCAGATGTTAGCCGTGCCCCTCCAAGTCAGAGTCTGTATTCAGATCAATTTGAATGTCAAAACTTCTCGTAATCTACGGTAATTTTATGTGTTAATTTTTATTGCTCTGGTTATATTTATTTTATAGATTTTATACCATTTACTTCATTTATAGGTTGGTAGCGAATTTGAGAGACATGATGCTACCTGTTGCCTGGATTAATCTGGTGAGTATATTTTTACAATCTATTCTAATATATATATTAAACTGGACTTTTTACCTAGTAAAAACTATATATATAGTTTTTACTAGGTAAAAAGTCCAGTTTCCTTTTTTGAAAACTAGAAATTATTAATTTTGATTAGAATTTTCACAAATATAAACGAAAATATGACACAAACTCTACCTGTATCGAGTCCTCACAGGGCAGATTCTTCACACATTATTCTAATGTTTCTAAGGGAAAAAAATATCTAGCAACAAGTTGCTTAACTTTTCCGGCAACACTTAAAATTGCGTGTGGTACCATCTGTTACGATATTTTATTTTAGAAACTATTTAAATTTTAAATCATTATAAAATGGCAAAAAGCTTAATTTTGAGGGTTAGAATGCGTTTTATTAAAAAAATTGTAAATCCTAATCCTAATAACGAGTAAAATCGTCATTAAATCCAACCTTACACGAGATACAACCTCACTGCCTCGGCCTTTAACAACCAAAATTTTATAACAACAATCCCCCTAATACACAAACCTACCTGCCAAATGTCAGAAATTTTCAACAAAAAGAACAGGGCCCTTAGTCTCGAGTTTTTTGTATTACAACTTCCAACGTGTTGAAGGTGTCACGTGGTACCATCTCACACTCTGACGTCAAATTGGTAGTCTTCAGTTATCTCACGTGTTTTTCCATCTCACCAAACGAGTGAGTTCGATGACGTCAATTCGAGTACAACACGAAAAACTCGAGACTAAAGATCAGGAGTTATTAAGTTTCAAAATGGGTGAACAAAATCGTGTCCTCACACATACAAACACAAACATCAATATATACAGAAAGAACCCCAATTTTTTTTTATTTCTCGACGTTTCAAGGCGTCCTAAATCCAAAAATGTAAAAATTATTAAATTAAAATTTAATTATTTAAAAAAAATAATAAAAAGTATTTTATTATCGTAGACTGCTGGAATAATGGGATCTGGACACGAATGGAAAGTCTTTGTAGGATTGGTTGGACCTGTTTATCTAGCAAGAGTCGTAGGTATTGTCGTTACTTGTGTAGGAATCATAAGACTTGGTAAAGCACTCTTCTTGCCTTTGAGAAAAGTAAGTTATTTTTTAATTTCTTACATGGAAAATTTATTTGGTAGATTGATTTATTATTATTATTTTAAAAGTTTTTATTAAAATAAAGCTGGTAGCCTTAAAATTATTTGTCTTTGTACTTGTACTAAAGCTGATTTAAAATTGATCACAGCTTTTAGTAAATTGTTTATTTAGGATTTAAGCGTTGGAGTAGTTGCAAATAACTTAATATAATTTATTATTATGTACTCGTGAGATCAATAATCCGATAATCAATGCTGTATTCTATTAAATCCTAGCACTAGGCTTTCTTACCTTTAGTACTAGAAGAATGAAAGAGGTTCAAGATATAATTCTACTCCACTCAAAAGTAATTCAATTAAAGTCTTAACAATGGCGCATTGCCTAGTAAAGTGGCTTTATATAGTTGGACAAGCAAGCCCGTTTCATTTGATACAGACTATGTCATTGGTTTACTTATTCAACAGTAAGAAAGCTGCTTTACTAGACGACACGCCCATTGATACACAAAAGAAACAGTTCATGATTCAAATAAGCCAGAACAAGTGCACTTGAAAAATACAAAACAAAAATTTCCATACCTTCTCTATGCAAAAACACGCCGACACTTACAGAAGACTTACAGCACCCTCTCAAATATAAGAAATATGCAGAATATATTTTAAAAATTACTGTTATTTGCTTAATATTCTAAGAAGAAAATGGAAAATTTCTTATTAATAAAAACATTAGGTAAATTACATAAACATAAGAACAATTGGTAGATTTTAAATAATTTGTTGAGCAAATTTTATGGAAATACAAAAAAAAAAAAAAACTTTCATCCGAAATAACAAGAAGTTCTTACAGTAATGCAAACATGTTTTATAATATTTAACGTACAATTATATTGATTTTATAGAAATTCTATCGATTTATCTATTGAAAATCATAAAATATGTTCTTACACGTAACTTGAACACTACTTGATCACATTTGATACAATTTTGTGAATTTATTCACTGAATTTACTTTATTACAGTACATTATATTTAGATCATCATCACCGTTTATTTATAAAAAGTTTTTGCAAATAAGGAAACAGTATACGCAAACAGCATTTATAAACAAACTAATTTCTGCTCTGGATAAGCTGAAGAATATGCCTTTTGTACTTTATTTAATCACTTTAATTAATTAATTAATTAACAATTTACTGCCAGAAATGGATCTCTTTTCCTATTCTTGGCCATCGGTTATGCTGTATAGAGAATTAAAAGTCTAAAATGTTTATTCGGAAGTATCTGAAAAGATGGCCAAACAATTGGCTTCCTTCAATAGGCCTATTTCTCCATTAGTTTTGTAATCTGTCCGTGTATATCCCAATACTTTCCTGAGACAAGTAGTACGAAAGCTGTTTAGAATATAGATTTGATTATTTAGTCAAACGACTAAATAATTTCATATTCTTATATCAATTCTATATTATAATTCTATATTTTTGTGTGCCATAAAGTTAGATTTTTGTTCTAAAAGATACTAATTTTGTTTAGGTTTAATTTTGTCTGGTTTTATTCGTTTAGACCAGTGTTTCTCAACGGGGGCGATATCGCCCCCATGTGGGCGTTTTCTCATGTTGAGGGGGCGATTAGTAACAATTTATATTTTGGGGGCGATATAGTAAAACATTATATTAAGAATAATTAGATATTTTATTCGTTATATCGTACAATAATTAAACAAATAACATTATCCTAATAGTCTATTCAATGCAGTACGAATTTGGCTTTAGCCTTGGCTCTCGTCATCGGAATTTATAGTAAAGGGGGCGATACTACGTAACGGTTTTATTGAAGGGGACGATACTACGTTGAAGGGGCGACGATTCGTTAGAGGTTGAGAAACACTGGTTTAGATAAAGCGATACATAGGCGATCTGCCGAGGGGAACGACTCCCAGGAAATCTTTTGTGGGAAACTTGGCACCTATTTAGGTGTTACTAACGTGAAGAAACCCGGAAAACTCCACGTGTCGAGGCGCCACTGGCCACTGGCATGCCAATTTTTTTTTTGGAAATTTAAAAGTTTAAGGCTTTGATTCCTTGCAATTATGTCAGGTCATTGATCAATTTCGTGTTCAATGAGCAAAAATATTGAACGTTCTCTACATTTTCGATATTCTATTATCATTATAGATCTTGTCTTCTATTGTCTTTTCTTGTTATACGATAAATATTATATCAGACGAGTAATTATTTTAGTATGACTTCGTCTCAATTCCGGATTGTAATTTTTAATTTATTTAATTTAAAATATGTTTTCAACCTTAAATTAGTAGTGTCTTGCCCCCTGTACATTATACGTTTCCTGTTAGCAATAGAGTCGTGCCGGTCAACTAACTCCTTCCAAGAAAAGGTTTTTGAAATAAAATAATGTGACTTCTAATCCAGGCTGGAAGTTTTTATATAGTTAATCGGGGTCTCCTGTCACTAAGCTTTCCATATCGTGTCTCGGTTTTCATCTGTCTAATTCCATTAAAGAAGATTAAGGAAGGACAGACAAACGGACGGACGATAGTTGGAATTATAGGTTTACAATTAAATTAAATTAAATTTTAATATTTAATGTTTATTCCATTTCATAGAAATTTTAAATTAGTTTTAATATACTGATGAATGGCTTATATTTGTTAATAAATAGAAAGATACTCAAAATATAAGCCACTAGCAGACCCCGCCACGCGTTGTGGCTCAAAATGTATCTATTATAAATGTATAACACTTCCCCGTGGGGAAATTTTTCGAAAAATTTCTTCTTAGTGTACATTCTGTTGGCGTACCCTATTAAAACGCAAAAAACCGCATCTAAAATAGTATAAATAGAAGCAGAGTTCTTTACGGTAAGCCTTAATCCTAACCATCTCCCTTCAGTGGGGGGAATTTTGACACATATATTATATAAAAACACGTGCGTANGGATGGCGAAAGTTAAAAAAAAAATCTATAACAATTTTAAATATTAATTGAATTCATATCTAACTTTAAAACACTTTTACTGATAAATTTTACATGTAAATCTTGATACTGAGATAAAAATTGCCAATCGATTTTATCTTGAAATTCTAAGATAAATTCTGAAGATAACATTCGGTGTATAGAAATGAGTCGCCAGTTAACCTCATCAGCATGATCTCTTATAAATTTTTCAGAAAGAGTTTGGTTTTCTGATATTTATTTATTTATTTCAAATTCACTCTACTTTTAAATTAATTGATAAATTCAGTTAATTTATAAGCTTGAAGTACTGGTCCCTAATAACCCACGATAAACATGAAAAATGGACTTACCCTCAGGGCGGAAAGAGTTTTAAAAAAAAACCATTGTACAAAAAAAAATGATTTTCGAACTAGGGTAAATTATGATAATCCATACATACATACATACAAACATTACCTCTTTATAATATTAGTATAGATAATTCTCAGTTAAAAATAGAAATTAAGATCTATACACGAATTTATATTTAACTCAGGGTGAAATATCAAAATATTAGTAAAAACTATTAATTCAATATCCTTCGAGTATGGAATGACCCAGAAGTCAGTTAACCGAGATGTATTTTTTTTTTCAGATTATTACAAGAAAGGTTAAAATAACCTTAAAAATGTGTTTCGGTTAACAAACTTCTGGACCATTCTAAATATTTTTAAAATTTACATTTTTAAGTTTGTTTCTCCTTGATGTTTTATAATATATATAGACTATTTATATTAATTATTTATAGAAAGTGTTATAATATTCTCCTTAAATATTATATTGGTATGCACAAGATAGCTCAAAAGTTAGTTAACCGTGACACGGATTTAAGCGTTGGAGTAGTTGCAAATAACTTAATATAATTTATTATTATGTACTCGTGAGATCAATAATCCGATAATCAATGCTGTATTCTATNGATTAGAACCTGGATTCCTTATAGTGTCAAGTACAGCATTTTAACATAATTTTTAAGACCGAAGATTTTAAGACCCATTAACGGGCAAGTAGATGAAACCACTGAACACTGGTTCAGTGGTTTTATTCACTCGGCGCGAATCCACGACAGCTGGTCATGGGTCGTCCCTCACCAACGGACTGGCCACGTGGAATTTTCCGGATTTTCTTCACATTTTTAACACCTAAATAGGGAACTGTTTAGAAAGTCCTCCCGGGAGGCATTTCCTTTCATCAGATCGTCCACGTTTTGCGTTGCCGTATACAAATAAAACCAAACCGAAGAATTTAAAGCGACTATTTGCCGCTCTGAATGACCCAAATTTGTCAAAATTGAATACTTGGGAGTTATTCATTGACAGAAAACGTGCTAAATATGTCGAGCCCACGTATAAAGACCATAAAATCAGAAAACACAACAGAAAAAGATATAATGACACTTCCATACGCGGAACGAATAATTAACAATACGTTAAAGTTCTTAAAATTAAACTGAGATAATAATTAAATTTAAATAAAATAAAAAATAATTAAATACCGAAAAGTAAAACAGAATACGGTAAATATTAATAAAAATCAAATTTTTAAATAAATTATTTTAGGCTATTTTTGGCTATATTTTATAGTAAGCGAGAAGTAATTCGGCTCTGTCGCACAGAGAAAGGAAGTGTGAAGCACGTTTTTTCCTGTAAAAATTAATCGACGACTTTAAAATGGTAAGAATTATTTTATTATTGTTATGATTATTATTATTTATTGGTCTACGAGCATTTCAGTTGTTGTTTGACAAAATAATACTTATTCATTAATGCTTATCGAAGGTTTTAGTGAACGGGTGTGAATCTATGATTGAGTGGGCATGAAGAATCCTTTATGAAAAATTGTCTTTTCACAAACACATAAATGAAATTACATAAATACATGTAAATTCGTGAAATATAAAATGTTTTATACATTTTTTTTTCCATTTTGTCATCATCGATTTGTCTTTTAGGCTCGTACTTACATAATTAGGAGGGAGAAAAACCATATATGGAAATTATATATATAAATATACACACTGTATTTGGTAGACTTGTTCTGAATGAAGGGTTCGACCCACCCCCAAATTTTGATCAGATGTGAACTCTGAATGAGGGATTTGCCACCCCCTATAAGAGCAAAAAAGTCAATGTAACCATATCTGTATGTGTGACCCTTCACAATATTTTCACCTCCGAAGGTCAGTTTATACTATGNTTTCAGTGCACCCTCCTATAAATACTATTTACATGTTAATTTCCACTCTGTTTTTGCCAGCTGAATACTTGTTATTTATTAAATGTTTTGTACCTGCCAGTCTTGTGCAGATTTGTTCATTTACAAATTTTGCAAAAGCTCTTAATTTTAATAGAAAGAACAACTTACGACATTTTTCAATTACTGGACTATAAGTATTTTCTTCCTCTTGGAACTTTGTATGGCATAAACACGTACACGTGGCTGTAAAAAGACAAAGAGAAATGTATGTGCTGTCCATTAGGTGGTACAGAGTCGCGGTGATCTCTGCTTTAGCGATTTGTCATATCTAGGTAGTGTTAATCTG